AACCTTTCGGCGGGCCACAGTTGGCCCGCTGGCCGTAGTTTGCCCATCCCTGCTCTAGACAAACTATAGCTACTTCCTTGGCTTGCTTATTCGTCGGATGTGTTGCCCATTGAACATGCGTGGGTTTTCGTTCGTCGGTGTCTCCCATGCTATCCTCGTTCTACAGCTTCTACAGACCTCTCAAGTAATATGGGCAGGGATAGCCTGGTTGGTAGGGCACTGGGCCCATGTCCAAGAGGTAATGGTTTCGATCCCCACCGGCCGAAGACTCCCCGTGCAGTAAATGGTGACTGATGCACGTTAAATTAGTCGAGTCACAAAGTCCTCCATGTTCCCATAAGAAATCATACCTCTGGGGGTACTGATTTAAGAGTTTCTTTCTCTTCTGGATTGGTTCAAAATTATAAGGCTACGGAGTTGAACATTAGTAGTCGTAAACCTAAAATTAGGTCGGTTGTTCAACGATGGCTATAAAATAAAAAAATAAAATCAAGCTATATGGAAGCTCCGGTTCAAAGCAGCAGTTATTGCAAAAAATCTAAATTATAGTATGACTCTAATTTTTTCCTCATTTAAAAAAATATATATATACTAAAGACCATTATTACAGATCCTATAATAGGTGAATATAATATGCCTCTAGTAGGATTGGTGTTGCTAGGAAATTTTTTTAATTGTCCAACAGTTTTGAAAAGTGTGTAATTATTTTGCATTTTTAACGTCACAGTCTTCTCTGACTTACCTGGCAGGCATCTTTTCCACCCTTTTCCAAACCTGCGCACACAAACTTATTCCAGATACCTCTCGGAAAGCGAGCTTTAGCGATTTTCCGGAACTTTGCATCGCATTCACTGTTGCCCACAACGGGTATGTCTTGAACCTCCTGCAGTATGCTCGAACTTGGACCTCCTAGAAAATTAAGGGTATTTAATGCAAAGTGAAACCCACTGAATTTAAATCTAGTGATAAGTTTTTTAGCAAATAACTATAAAATGATACCAAATGCAAAAAAAAGTCGTCTGACAGAACTTTTTAATTTTAAAACACTGAATATAAGTTTGTCATTAATTTTGAAGCAACTTGAATGATACCTCTATCGTTTTTTTTAAAATTTTTTTCTAAAAACGAATAATAAAAATTAAATTTTTATTAAATATTAGCACATTATAAACTAAAAAAATGATAAATGTTTAGGAAAATGTTATCAAACAGAATTTTTTTTGAAGGATATTGAACAGGTATGGAGCTAATCAAAGTACAGCGCTGTGATCGGCAACGAGTGTCTAGCACAGTTCTTAGATCGGCTACTGCTGCTACAATGCCAGGTTATACAGATTTAAGTGAGTTTGAACGTGGTGTTATAGTCTGCGCGGGAGATGGGACATAGCATCTCCGAGATAGCAATGAAAATCACTGATACATCATAATTTTTTTAAATCTTGTTGACGCAATCTTAAGTGGCATTTAGCTAATCATCATTTTTTCAGTAATGAGCATGGAAACCTCTTAACTGACAAATTCGGAGTAATAGCCTCCTTCCTGTTTAATTTAATTGAAAAATACCCGTCAACTCGCACGAACAGAAAGTGCTAATATGGGAAGGGAAGTTTAAAATTTCTCTTACTAGTACAACGTGAGTTAATTCTTGTAAATTGGCTTGTTTTTTGGCTATAAATTTTAAATCGTGAGGTACTTAAATTCAACGTAATTTGAAAAGGTAATTAACAGATTATAAACATATTCTGTTTTAAATTTGTGTTTTGTTTAATAGTAATAAAATTTTACCAAAAGACAGATCTCCCCATCCTAAAATAGTGACATTGTCGCCTGCAATGATGCCGTCTAAGGTTGGTAGACAAGCTGGTACGATATCGGATGGCAGAGGCTGTGCTAGTCTCATGATAGCGATGTCATCGTAATCGTATCGGGGCCTATAGTCCTCGTGAGTCTTCACTTCTTCAACTTCGTAATAGGGAATCGTTTCACCGATTTGGAGTTCTCCCACTTGAACCGAATAAAGCTTAGGATTTAGGCTACGTAGAAATAAATAAATAAAATATGTATATGAAATAATATGAATATTACTAGAGAAATAACAAACGCCATTTACCATTTCAAACTAGTTGAATATAGTGCGGCTTTGAGGAGAACTCCTCCAGGCTGAAAGTCTGGGGCTGTCTGCTGCTATGGTAACAAGCGAGAGCACGTTTCTAATGGGGGGTGAAATGGAGGAAAGAAGGTGTCGATTGGTTTACTTACGCATAGTAGGTGTTGACTTAAGGCCTGTTTAGACGATCCAATTTCTTGGACAGAGATTGATTGATTGTTTTGCTTTGAGCTTTGATCGTGTAA